TAGGGGCAGGAAAAGGGTGAAAGTCTTTCGGAAAATCCAGCGTAGATTTCTTCTCCCGTCGGTCCCTCTCCTGAGTTAGCCGCCCCGACCCGGCCTGGCCCGGCCCGGACCGGCCCGGCCCGGCCCAGCCGGTAGTGCTGCTAGCGGGGAGGGAGCGCACAGGTGTACGCCACGGCTCGGTTGGAGGCTACGTACACACGAGCCCGAGTAAAATTGAAATATAAAACCCGCGGATACTGTTAGAACTCTCCGCGTAGTGGGTGGGGAAAACCGGCGGTGTTCCGAGCCGAATGAATTATGGTTATGTAACTGGGCTATCATAACGGGCATCCGTGTATCATTTCGAATTCGATCGACGGTGGCTACCTGGCTAATCTTTGACGTATGTCTGTAGCAGATCTAGACTTGCCGATGGTTTCTCTTTGAATCTATCGATAAACAGTTTTCGTTCGGAGCATCTAGCGATCGCTAATGCGACCTTTTGTTCACCGGAGTGCTTGTAATCGAAGGCGAAACTCGCAAGAAGCGCGAGATCGCGAAAGTTCATGCGTCGTCGTACCTTTCGAGGGTGTTAATGCGTATGGAGGCGGGTTTCTCGATGTTCTCTCGCTCTTTCTCCCGTCCTCGTCCTGCTCGTACACTTCTCCTTCGCCGTCCCCCTCGTTTGCTCACGATCACCGCGTCTCCCTCTCTCATCGTTCTGCTCGCTCCTCGGTCCCGCTCGCGCGAGCGCTGGTTTGTTTTGGTTTACCGGGTGTCGAGTGTGTCGAGCGGGCGTCGTACTACGTTAAGTGAGGCCGAAGCGCGACAACCGACCACAAGGCGCCTGCGCGAGCGCGAGCGGGTAACAGCGTCGCGCGAGCACCGGCGAGTCCCCCCGCGGATAATGTTAACAGCCGTTGGCGAAGCCGCTGAGCGCGTTTGACAACGTGCGGCTTTTGTCAGCCGGGATCATCGTCGTTGAACAGGTCGATTCCCCGCGAGAGATATCGTCCCATTCAACCTAGGCATTGGACACTCGTTAACCGTGGTTGCGTAACGAGGCGACCGTCGCATAAACACTCGTAAAGTACAGCGTAAACCGGGGATTTATCGTATCGTAACGCAGATTTTTTGGTTTCCTCGATCCTCGCGGGGTCTCGCTAAAAATTCGTTTTGATTCACTGTTGTCGAAGGATATTAATCTTTAAAGATAGTGGGATAGGTTGATACTGACTGATCGTAAACGACATTGAGAAGAATCGCGAGGAAATGGGTGCTGTCAAATGGTGATCGTTACGAATAAATAATTTTTAACACTAGAACTACCGAGCAGTCAAATTGTCTTCTTGGAATTTCTCTGTAGAAACTAAATAGTGCAACTATTGAGACTTCAATTGATTCGCAATGCAATTTGTGTATTGATAAATCAATTTCTCTAAGTAAGTTTTCAGGGAAGCATCCATTATCTTTTCAATATCTGAAAAAAAGAAATCGCGAATGTGCCATTTTGACCCGTCCGATAGTTGTGGCGTTAAAGAAAATACTTTTAATCTTGTACCTTAAGCAATAGTAACAAGCTGTCTTCAAGATGTTCATCCACAAAAGACATTCTCTGTACATCAAACTCAGAGTAAATTCGAAAGAATTTTAACAATTATACGTTTAAGGACCTACAACTACCCCACCCAAGCAAAGATAAAGCTGTTCTTATCCATGATCAAGGCTCGACCGCATGATCGTTTCGATGAAATTATTCTCCGGAACCGCGTGGTTCACCAACAGCCCTCGAATTAAAATCGTACGGATATCGGGTATCGAAGTGTTCAATTTCGCGGGGCTTCGGCCCGGAGGGGAGTCAATAGAACGTCCCGCGGGCGGGCGGTCGTAAATCAACAGGTTTTTCCAAGAATCGCCAGGTGAATTATATCGGGCCGTTCGTCTCAGAATCGGCGCAGCCACACATTTATTATCGGGCCCTTATCGATCGGTATATCCTAGGCGAAATTTATTTGCGGCTGTTTCACCGGCTTATTTACGACCCTGGCAAGTTCAATCCACTTGTTTCTTGTCCGGAGCCAACGGCATCACGAGACCGGGCCCGTCGTCTCTATCAGGATGGCGAAGAGATCGCGTGTCGTGCACGACCCAGCCCGCGCTTCCCTGAACTTGAACTCGTTCCAGAGCGTTCGAGGTGGCACCACCGCGCTACGAATTTGCCGTGGCCTTTCCTTCACCCCTCACGCCCTCGTGGTTGTTTCCGTGGACCGTACAATAGACGGGAGGCCGATGCCACCAGTGGTTATGGATGAACAGTAGCAATCGAGGAACGACGCTCGACAAAAACGCCACTGAGAAAAGGGGGACAGAAGGATGACCGCCGGTGAATCGTCCGTTGCCTGGAATCTGTTAACCGGGCGTTACCTGTGACGCAGTTTTGGATGCGCTCGGTGTGATAGCGATCTGTTGGGCGTATATATAATTGTGTATCGTTGAGGGAAGTTTTCGTACGTAGATGTTGGACATAGATTATTTTTTAGAGGAACGCTATGACGTATTATTAACCAAATTTTGTTTATTAGTTTGTAATCAAAGAACCTAATATATTTTTAGTGAAATAACAGTACACCTTGAAATTCTGTTTCTTCGTATTCCTTAAAAACAGTTTTCCGTCAACTTTCAAAGTTTACTTTCACAATAACCTGAAAGAACTAATTTCCGGAATAGCCGAATTCTCGACTAGCGCCCGATTGTCAGTCATTATTCATACTAGTCATTCATCATAATTGAATCAATCGTGGAAATTTTTGCCGCGTGTCGTAGCCGAGCAGGGATTCCGCTCGCAGCGTGTGCTCGGCTCAAAAACAATACTTGTTATCGCGCGAGAAAGAGAGCGGTGTGGCGAGGCGCGGAAGGACGTGGACAAAAAATCGGTCGAAAAATACGGATCCAGAAAATCCTGTTTCCCTCGACGGGGACCGCCGGCCGCGGACGAGAACGCGGACGGAGACGTGTTGATTTAACGGAACAAATGCAGCGTATCGGGGCGGACCTGTTCCATCGGCGCGGCGGGGCTTCTGCATCGCGAAAGAAACGACGCAGAAATCAGCGCGGTCTGATCGGGTTCCTTGAACCGTGGACGTGCGCTATAGGTGGCTATCGCGGAGCCGGCGTTGCACGCTCCGCGCAATTCGGTTCCGTGAACCCCGGGACCAGTTTAATCCGCGTCCAATCTGCGGCCTCGTGCTTCCTCGAATCGAAGAATGAGTTGTCGGTAGCGGGCTCGGATACGCCGCGCGTCTCTGCACCAACGCGCGCGTGCACGGCCGTGTTGCACGGCCACTTCTTTCGTTCGCTCCCTCACGGACCGAGCCGACAGATGTTCCAGTTTCTTTTTTCTGCCGATCGAGCTAATTGTCGGGGGATTAGTATCGGGACGGGACTATGAAGCTGCTGCTACCTGCTAACCTGTCGAAAGGAAAATCTACCTGGGGGTCTGTGAATTTTCTTTTATAGCTGAGATCACCTGTACACGTGAAACATTAGGATAATTTTGTTGAGTATTCTGACATTTAAATTGTATACAGTATTTTCAATAGTTTGTATTATTTTTATGCAGGTTTGGAAATTTTCGAATGCTATATGCATTCTACGATAAAATTCGAACAATAAAATACAAGATACGGCTACCTATAAGATCACAATTCTTCATGTGGCTCTGCTGTAAATCATTCACCCTTGAGGCTATCGTCGAGCAAAATTTTCTACTACAGACTTTCATTTTGTTTTAACGCGTTTACCTTTGATCATAGCCCTTAACACTGTCATCAAAGTGGTCAGCCACGATGCATTTTATACTCATGTTATTCCGGTAACTTCCTGTGAAAAAACGCTATATGTCTCTTTAATTATATATTCTTTAAATGAATGCGTATATCCCGTTTTATAGCTTATACCGTACGCTACTCCTTCCGTTTGTCAACGGTTATTCCCGCGAACTCAAAATACTCGTATGATCTTGTGCTTACGAACATGCAACGAGATTCAATTATATGAAGAATCTACGAGTTGCAACTTGCAGAAGAGAAATCACTTTAACATACAAGATACATACGATTGGATGTAACAAAATTATAGTTGTATATATATATATATATATATATATATATATATATATGTAATAATAATAATAATAATAATAATATCAAGCTTCATATAATCCATCAGTACACGAAATCTATATATGTTTCCTCGTTAGTTCCTGTCAAAGAATGTCGTCCACATCTCCTCGGAAAAAATTAAATATTTCCAGTGAAAAACTTTCCAGTGCAAAAGATTAACGTAACTCGTGTTCCATACTGCAATTAAAAGAATTCAAAATTCCGCAAAAAGCTATGAAGTTATCGATCCTCGTCCAGTCGCACAGTTCGTGTGTCTTTTCAAACAAATCATAGGAAAAGGAAATTCGATAAACAGCGAAGCGAAGAGGGATAGTCACGTATAACGTAAGGGGTGGCAACGTAAGAAGCTTTCTCTTCCGTTTCTCCCCTTGCGAGAGGATGCTGCCGTTTATCCTAACAGCGCGCACGGCTGCGTCGCAACCGCGCGGCGCGCGCGCCGGCCTGAGCTGGGTGATGCCGATTTCTAAGACTGTAACTAAACGGCCGAAGTGAGTACTTACTTTATCCGACGCGTACATAGCCTCCCGTGGCATCGGCATCGGCGCGGCTCGCTCGAGCGGTGCTGCTCGGAGGTGCGCGCTGATCGTTTCGAGTACATCGAACCCTCCTTTATACTCGTACCTGCGTAGGTATATACCTGAATCCCCAAAAGGATTCGGATCCATCGTGAGGAACAGGTGTCAAGAGGCAGCGGCCAGAGGAAGGAAGAAGCGGGGGAGGAGGGAAACGGAGAGGAAGATATAGATCGAGCGAGACACGGCGTAGGGCGAAGGGGGATGAAGATGGTAGATCGGAGAAGGAGGAGGGCAGCGGACGAAGAAGGGTAGAGGAGGGCGGAGAGCAAATGGTAGGAAAAGGTGGAAGCGGGAGGAGGGGGGCAGTCCTCGGCACCCAACTCCCCCTGGTCTTATATTCCTCGAGCGCATCGAGGGCCGTCGCGCGCAGCCTCCTCTCAAGGATAACGAGTAATCCTGGATAGTGGATCCGCTGATCCGAGGGAGACTACTCTCTTTCTCTTTCGTCCCGTGCTTCTTTTCCCTCTCCCCTTTCTAGCCTCGATCGCGCCGAGACTCGATTGTCCCGGCTCGAACCTAGCTAGAACCCTTTCCAGGCGCACCGTAATTACTTGGATTTTGATCGCTGCGGAGACGGAAGACGGTAAGAGGTGTGGGAGGACAGCGGACCGGAGGAGGTCACTTTTTTCGGGGGTTTATTACTAGGAAACCGACGGACCGCGAACCAACGGAACGGGGTCCTTATCCCTCTCTTCTTGCTCCGCCTGGTCCTTGGTCCTCCGACGTGTTCCTCGGAGCCGCTCCTCTTCCCCCTTTCCCGGAGCGTCTTCCTCGCTTCTTCTTCCTCTTTGTCCTTAGAACGTGACTCGACGAAAGACCCGGCTTTTGTTTTGACAAATCCTCCTGTACGTGTGCGTCGACTCGTCGATGGACCCTCTTTTCTGGCTTCCACGGTCTCTGTGTGCGCGGGATCGTGTGGATTGTCTCCTCTCTTTCTCCATCTTTCTTCCTTTTCTCGATCCCTCGCGGCCCCATGCGTCCTCTTCGCTTCGCTCGAGCGAGCGAGACGCGGACAGGTCGTTGGGCGCAGAGAGGCAGGCGGGTGCTTCAACTTGCTCGTCGTTTTGTCGAAACCCCCACCAAGCTGGCCCGATGTAAACACGAGTGGCTGATAGCCGTGTGGCCCTGCGAGGGGATCCAGCGGACCGGGAGGCAGACGAGGGTCCGTGGAACAGGGACAAGTGGAGGGACCACGCGAACAAGTGAGAGAACAAAATACAACGGAGATGAAGAGGAAGAAGGAAAGCCTAAGGGAGAGAGAAACGTCTGTTTGGGGCCCGAGCAACACCGAGCCGAGGCGAACCAGGCCGAGCCGAGATACAAACGAAACGAGCAAAGGGAGAAAAAAAGTGAAACACGAGGGAGGCAAAGTGCAGCTGAGCCCCAGTGGCGTAGCCATTCGCAACCTCGGCCTCTGGAGCTTGCTAGCTTGGTCAACACGGTCAAACCTTTCGCGGTCAATGTTGGAAAAATCGTATCTAGGATCTTCGTTGTCGATACTCGTGTCATGAAATTTTCTTGGCTTTTTCTATCCATATAGAACATCTTAACTCGAATACGTAACATGGGCCACCGTTCTAGAATCAACGGCTGCGAGTACTGTCTCTCGTTAAACGTGTTAACGAACGCGCTCGAGTTAGGTCCATTGTTGCGAAAAGTAGCGCGCAATTTCCCGATGAAAGGGCGCGAAAAAACTGCACGTGCACGTATCTCTGTGTAGTGACCCCTAGCGCGGCCGGTGCGCGCGAACGAAGGGAGAGACGCCGCTTTTTTCCGGCTGAATAATGCCAGGCCGGATCTATTGTGCGCCGCGTGCAAGTCAGTCCCCTGACAGCCGGGCCTCTAGCCCAGCCATGGAACGGGGGACTCATGTATGTAGGTCCCAACGGTCTGTGCCCGTTGAACTAGGTCACGTCGAAGTGCTCGATCGTATTTTTTTCTCTCGCTCCGTCTTCCCCTCTCCATCGATCGTCCTTCTTTGTCGCCCTGTTCATCGTTGGCCGGATCGCATCCTCCATTGTTTCGGGATCCTCCCTCTCCGTCGATCGCGATCTTTCTTCTTCCACGCGAGAACGTATTCTTCCCTCGCCTCCTTTTGGCTTAACCCTTCGGACTCGACTGTATTTTTCACTAGAAATATTTATCATTTTCTAGCGAAATATTAACGATACTTTTCAGAACTAGCGTAGCGTAGCATCTTGTATAAATTTTGTCTGTTTTGAAAAAACAGAATTATCTGATTTCAATGTCCCGTGTGTTAAATAAAATTACACAATGTTAAACACTCAATTTTATATTTAATAATCTTGCTGCGGGGAATCAAACGGTGACCGTAAGTTCGCTGTCGAGTGCTAAGGGTTAATCTTCTTGTCTCAAAGCCAGAGTCTCCGGTAAACGAAGGTGAAACGCGGGACAGAGGGAAGGCCAGTGCGGCGGAGAAGACGGAGGAGAGCGAGGGGTGGCTGGCGTCATTATGAAAATGATACTGTACCTGTAGCTGAGGGGACAGACCGCAGACCATAGCAATTACGCGTAATGAAACGCCCGGGTCCACGGTGGACGAGTCCAGACGACGAAGGGCAATTGACGACGTTTTGCGTCTACGTAGCAGAGTTCGAAAACAACGGGGACAGACGGTGTATCGCGTGTAACCGGTCGCAGCGAATCTGTACGCCACCTCTCCATCGGCCGTGCGATCGTGCCGGATAGCGCCGGAATTGTATCGAATCGTGTGGTCGTGCGCTGCGGGCTGTTTTGCACGAAAGAGGTCCGATGCTCGGAGCCTCTACGGTCTACTTCGCGAAAATGACACGCCGAGGACGTTCATCGGATTTCTCTATTGCTGTATTCTAGTCGGTCGTTTATCACCGTTTGATGGATCGCGTTTCGATCTTCGATGAAGTAAAAGCTTATCTTTGTATTTACGTTTTGGGATTGTGGTCATTGGAACGCTGGAATTATAGATGACCATATATTCTGTTAATAAGGTGTGCAGCTATATATCTATAAACTATTTGATTAATAAGAGAATTGTTGATAGATGTGTGTAAGTGATTATATTGAGAATTGTAGTTATTCAAAAAAGAATTGTTAACTTGGAAGTATTTTAATTGATCTTGAAGACGATCACGTAGATATTTAATCTTGTAGGAAATATTTGCAGTAAACGATGTTCGTGACGGCATTCAATACCGGCGGGCAATAAAGTTTGAACAAACGACATTTTTCTCTGTTTAATTCTCTGCGAAACAGTTCGCTGATTGCTGTTGGAGCTAATTAGGTTGTAACATAAATAAATCCAGGCACGAGCGTAAACATATTCTAATTCGAAAAATTCAATTATGACTCATTATAAATCCGCATAACCGTGATTAACAAGAAGGCACTTACAGTCGATTTAAACTCGGCACGGCTACTTCACAGCTCCGCGGAACTAATAATCAAAAATAAATATTGAACATAACTGAACTTATTTATGTTACAACCCAATAACTCACGGCGAGACTTCAATTGATACATTAAAGTTATATTTATCATTGCGCAGTGGATTTTATATATTTATGGCCTATGTAAACGTATAAAACGCAATGAAATAAATAATTTTACTGAAATTTAACACGTCGACTGCTCAAACCAGTACCCATAAAAATCCCATAAAGTCGAAGCGGCATATTTAATGAATCAGCGAGTGAGACGTCGAGATTTATCATAGTAATTACTCTTTTAATCTTCTCGCGTTTCATAGATCCCAACAAAATGTAGATTGCTCGATATATCGCCATAAAATACAATTCCATTAAGTCTGAATAATAATTCGCACGATGCTTATCATCTCCAATCATCATAGTCTACATCTCTCTCAAAACTACGACCACCTTTATCGTACCTCCAGTCCTCAACATCGTAACTCTTGATTTTCATCTACGACAATTGAATAGCAACTGAATCACGCGAAGACCGAATGCACGTACAACTCCAACAGCTTCCATCAGCGATAATTTCAAAATCGATTAAAAAACTATCATTCAACCTTCACGTGATTGATCCTCTCGAACAATTCATCCTGTTGCTCGGCGGCGTCCTTTTACGCCGTTGCGCGATTTTCACGAAGTCCTGTTCGCGTGTTCAGGGACGTCGTCCGGTAAAAACGCGCGTGACATTTTCGAGGGAAAAGGTTTCTCCTCATTAGTATCGGCCGATGATGCCCGGGCCGGCGGGCCATGGTGGTCGTGGGTAACACATGCATTCATCGTATCTGAAATTCCCCGACACGTGTTCTAGCCGCGGTCGCGCAGCGTTCAGTCTTTTGTTTGACGTGAATCACCTTCTGTGCGACGCGAGCGTCCCGATGCCGATCGGTGTGCGTGCGCGCGATATAACGCGCGTAAGCGGCTTGTGTGTGGATGTTCAACAGGTACGAGGGTCGAGGCGCGGTGCTTTCTATACGGAAACGCGGGTTACACGCGTACCGGCGCATGATGAAGGGCTTCCACCATTGTCTCCCTGTCCGTATGAGTCACTGGCCGAACCATAAAATAGTCATAGAAGTGAGTTACGCGGAGACCCTACCGCGGAACGGTTAACTCTCGCGTTTTGCGGCTTCTAGATCAACCGGATCCACGTTTCGCGGACCGATCGTTTGGCTTTGTCGATTTTTGTTTGTCGAATTGTACTTTAACGGTTAGCAATTGGTCTTTCTGTATAGCTGAAACTTCTGTATAATTGAAAGTTAACGAGGTTTGAAATAGGTAATT